CTCTGCGATTCGTGGCGTTTATGGAAGCTTTCGTCTCGGATGAGTTCAGTTCAGATTCATCGGCATAGCCACATGAGGCACTTTCATGAGGCCACTTGACAGGCACCTCTGAGAACCCCTTTGTGCTCGCATGCATTTCTGTGGAAACTTTTGCCGTTGCCGCGGGGTTTTGGCGGTCCCCTGGTGGAATTCCCTCTGTTTGGTTTCGATTCGCAGGTTGAAGTTGGCTCGCATGCATTTGCACCATTGACGCATTTTTGCCGCAGTTGTGGTTTTGTTTTCACCCCTTTCCAACCTTCTCTCTCCCTTGCGAGATGGCTGGACACCAGCTCTATGACATGATGCATTCGCTCCTGCATAGCATTGCGACCGGCACCGCGTCCGGCTCACCAGGCAATTGTGGACCGAACTTGCAGCTGTCATCCCAGATGACGCAGCCCATGAACCTTGTACCGTCACCCAACTCGCAGACGGCATCCTTCACACCTTTCCCCATGATGCCCTACGGCGGCCTCTCGAACTTTGGCAACCCGATGGCCATGATGCCCTACGGTGGCCCTCCCAATTACGGCAACTTGGCACCTGGCACCATCATGCCTTTCATGACTCAGAGCAGCATGCCATCTTCACCGCCCGAGCCTCAGCCGGCGCGCGCGCCCGAAGCTGCCGCTGCGGCTCCTGCCGCTACCTCCTCAACCAACCACCCTCCCCCGGACACTCGGCACCATCCCCACTCTCGCAGATCCCGTTCCCGCCACAGACAGCACCGACACTCCCACTCCCACACCAGCCACCATCGCAGGCACAACAAGTCGCACCGACGACACGACACCCGACGATCCCGCAGCTACAGCAGGTCACGTTCCCTTTCCCGACACTTCCACCACTCCCGACGTGCACACCACTCCACTGTCTCCCTCCGCTCCCGCTCCCCCCGACACAGGTCCCACCATCGACACTCCCCTGCACCCAGAGCCACGACTTCCTGGCGCACTTCCGGGAAGGATTCCAACAAGTCTCAATGGTCCTCCTCACACTGGCGGAACCAATCGTGGGGATACCCACCACAGAACAAAAACCGCTGGGACATGCACCACCCATGGCGCCAGCCACACCGGCCACCGAAACAACCAGGGCAAACGACCGTCCTGGTCACTGCAGCACCATGGGCAGCAACCCCACCCCACTTCCCGCACCGGCCACCACAACACTAGCTTGCCCCCTCACCCAGCACCTGCGGCGGCCTTCACTTCCACTCCCCCTCCCCCTCCCCGACCCACGCCGGCTACTCCTCACCCTCCCCAACCCCCCTTCGACAACACCGGTGATTTGGATCCCCCTCCATCGGAGGCGGACATCAATGCCACCACCACTTCCGACAACCGGTGGCTTGATCTATGGAGAAACGTCATGGACACGGCCAAGACTGACCCGCTGCGAGTTCCCACGCCTAGGGAGTTGGGGGAGCTGGACCCGCTTCCAGCCTTGGACATCTCCAGGGTGGAACAGACTAAGGCCATTTTGATGGACCTGGACCCTGCTTTGCCACCTTCACATGCCGATCTCCTCGCGGAATGCTGGGAACTGCGAACCATGGACACGGATGATCCCATACCGTTCGATCCCAGCTTCTACCACCTCTTGGGACGGGAATCACACGGCATGGTGTTCGCAACCACTTGGTTTCCCCGACCTCATCCTTGGCCAGTTGCTGGCGGAGACCCGGAAGCTGGATCCGGCACGGCCTCCCATCACGCTGTCATGTATGTGCACGGCACCACCCCGGATCGAGTGCGCCGCATGTGCCATGAGAACATGATCCGACCCGCTGCTTGGAGGCCCGAGAACCATGACTACCCGAGCTTTGGATGCTACGCTCAGGCCACCCCCACGGCATGCACGCCCGACACGCTCGGCCAGCTCTTGCAGAACTTTACAATCGGAAAGTCTCAACTCGGCGCCATCGCTTTTGGGGAACTACGCTCCATCAATCAGCACAAAATCCTCGAATCCGGGGGAAGCCACGAGGATCAACACAACGTGCGGCGCCACTTCGCATGCCGCCGAGGCAAAAAGTGGTGCCTTCACTCCAAGTTTGCGATGCTGAGAGGCATCGCGCTGCAGCGCCCGGCTTAGCGGGGCGCAAGTGTACCATCTTCCACCCAACCAGGAAAAGAATTGGTGCACTGTTTGATCGCCTTTTTTCTTTGCTTTGCTGTTCTGCCTTTCCGCGACCGTTCTCTCACCTTGTGACCTTACCCGCTTGATTCCGCTCACCAGCTTGTGGTTCGAACATTTCCTTTTCCCCCGTGTTTTCTCATGGCTTTCCAACCCCCTCGAGGTTTGGTTACGGCGCTCCAAAGGCAAAACTTACCACCGCAGCCTTCGCCCACGGCATCCCATCATCATGGCATCGTGTACGGCAACAACATGGCCGGGAACCCGTGCGGGGCCCTGTCCGGGCCTTCCTACGGATGCTCTTCCACGGCATCGGCACCGC